GCAGTCTGGGGGGCAGGGAGCCCTCTGCGCCGAGGCGCGTGCAGTCTTGTGTACTTGAGGAGTCGGGTGCAGGAGGGGCCAGGGAGCCTGCTGCACTCCACCCAAGTGGTCCTAACAATGAAGCACACTGATTACTGCCTATGGGAAGAAAGCTGTAAATGAGAAGATGTGCAGCCGAGTGCAGAGACACTTCTGCCCCTCTCCAGAAACAGGAGCACTGACATGTGGCAGTGATCGGCTCTTCTGCCATAACTTCCAGTTACCCCTGCCAACAAACTGACGGCCTACGGCCTGTTCCCAGATACACATTTGTGCAGCTGCAGCCTGACTATGCGATACAGTTCAGTGACCATGTAAATACAATGAAGACTTTACAAACAAACAAGGATAGTCTGGAAATGCAGTTAAAGTGCCCACTCATCCCTGGCCTATACAGCTTCATTGTTAGCAGATTCATGTCTATTACAGCTGTCACAGGGAGCGAACCTTGGGATGCCGTGCCAGTTTGGCCACAACCAGCTGTGACCGGGGACATCTTAAATCCCATGAATTTGGCAGTGTCCCTGTGGCCTCTATGAAGGCTTTGTTGGTGACATATCCAGCAAATGTCCCATCAGGGCTCAGGCAGCCAAACCATGAGGGAATATAGGGTTTAAGGTGTCTGCAACCTGAGAATGGATGTTCATGTGGATAGTAAAAGGATAAAATGGCTGTAAAATGGCCAGTGGCTGGAGTGTCAGGAGTGGCTATATCACACAGGTGGGCAGGACTCTGCTGCTCAGGCACTGCAGGATAAGCATCTTTATAAGAAGCAAGATAGATTTGGTATGTAAATTACGTGTAAGAGACATGGGGGTGATGCTGCTATCTCATCAATGGAGGGAGAATTGGAGTATAGTCTCTGGCCTTGTAGGTGGCATAGGTGTTATGGATGCTAACTGAATTCCTCTTTAGGCTCTGTCTACACTGGGGAAGGGAAAACACCAACATGGGCCAGGCTCAAGTGTCTTCAATACCATGACCTTAAGCTCAGATAAGATCAGGGCATGGACCTCGCCAGTCCTCAGCTCCATACACCTTCAGGCACACCCTCTTGTCACTCCTTCCATCCCCATGTATGCCTGAGAACATGCTCCTCATCAAGCCTTCTTATGTCCCCCTTTAGTCACCACTTACCAATCATCCCCATGTAAGCCTTCAGGCACGCGGCATGGTTGTGCTGAGAACAGCCATCTGGGGACATGCCTGCAGGCTGACAGTTCTGTTGGAAATCAGCCAGTCGGGATCTGTAGGAAGAAGAAGAGCATCAGAGTCAGGACTGCTCTTTTCACTGGGCTAATGCCCCTTGCTGACAGACCTACTTGCAGATATGCTCTTTGATACAGGAGTCCAAGAGAAGGAGGCAGTTGGGTTTGATGCTGTCCTGGAAGGAGCACTCAGGGACAATGGTTTTCCGGCGTCGCTCCCCACAGAGCTCATCTTGACATGGACAGAACAGGAGCCTCTTGGTGAAATCCTCAGGGACCTTCTCAAAGAACTGTCGTAGCCTTTTGTGGCACTTACGCTGGTCACAGGTGCCTCCAGACTCTGCCCCCTTGGTGCAGCTGGAGGCATAATATGTGCGCAGATGGACACATTTCTTATTCAGGCTGCAGAAGTGAGTTGCTTTCAGGCAGGCATTTGCGCTGTCCCCTGCTAGATGTGAACCTGAAAAGCCAACAGAAACCCAGGGACAGTAAATCCCAGAGGAGATTTCAGGTGTGAGTAGGAGGAGCTGCAGGCTCCTGCAGCCCCTTGGAGAGGGCAGGCTACCATCCTGTTACACTGCAATTTAGTGATCACTCAGCAGGGATTCATGGGAAAACGGGAAGGGCATCAGGCAAGCTGACTCTGCTCTGTGCTAGTGTGCTTCAGGCCTAGTCCCAGGTCCTCTGAACGAGCCTTGCTCTTTGGAATGTGGTTTGCAGGAGCGGGGGAGCGTTTGTGCTTCACAGGCTCACACCTATGTCTGTTATGGCTCACTCGCTGCCTTATGGAGCAGGAGGAGTTACTCCCCTTCCTCTATGACTGCTGGGGAACAGTGTCTGAAAACAGCATTTAAACCTGGTTCTGGGCCCAGTGAACAGTTTTCAAACATTTGTCCTGCCAGTGAAGAGGACAGTGATAAGAGGAAAAGATTATGTCTAAGGTTATATAAAGTGGTGGTGAACTCCAGCTGAACATAAAGGTCTATGAAAAGAGTTCAGGGCTTTGTTGGCAACAACGACAAAAAAGTTATTGATGTATCTTTCATGAGATTGATTCAATTCCATTATTTGAACAAATAAAAATTGCTCAATGAAATAAAGCCATATCCTGACACACACTCCTTTTGAGGACAGCAGTGAAAGATATGTATGATGTAAAGAGCGGTAAACTGAATGGCACATATGTTGGTTTCTGCCACTGACATTCTAGCAGTTGACTGGAAAAAATTGTGACCCACCATAAGTAACATACATTGTAAAATTATCTCTCTGGTCATAAATATTCCTAATTGTTCTTAGTTAAGTTTACAAACTGAGTCAGAATAAAGGTCCATCTAGCCCAGTATCTTGTCTTCCAATAGTGGCCAACGCCAGGTGCCCCAGAGGGAATGAACAGAACAGGGAGTCATCAAGTGATCCATCCCCTGTCGCCCATTCCCAGCTTCTGGTTAACAGAGGCTAGGGACACCATCCCTGCCCATCCTGGCTAATAGCCATTGATGGATCTATCCTCCATGATATGGGCAGGCCATAGGAGGTACTAAATCAGCTTTTTTAGTAATGTATCTTTTCTTGTTAGTTGGGATGTCTTATAGAGAAATTGAGGTGCAGAAAATATCAAAGCATAGGGAAGATTTTTTCTGTCTGGTAATGCTTTTTGGAATAAGTGGATATTGTCCAATGAAGAGGGAATCTCACCTGTGTGTTAACTAAACTTTTGATTTTTCTAAACAAGCTAAAGGAAAATAAAAATAATGGAGAAAATGCCAATATTTATTGTATCTTAATAGTTTAAAAAAAATCTGGATTAGTTACAAAATGGAAATTGTTAGACTTGTTTCCTTGTTGGGCTTTCCTTGATGCATTCCACTCTTCTGACTCCCTCCCTTTAATCTCTCCTAACCAGTTACCTTTTGGATAGCTTCACTTACATGCAGTGCGATCTACGGATCCACCCCACTCTCTGGCATGCTGACACCAAAAGCTCCACCTGTCCATCTCAGATCCTCTGGAGCCAATATTCCACTGACCAGTTTTAATGGGGGTATTGCCTCAAAATATTTTTCCTCTTAATAATCTTCAGCCCAGTAGGTGGCCCCTGAGAGAGGAAGAAAAAGGGGGAGATGTGTACCTGTCATGATCCCTACCTGAAACCAAAGCTGCCAGCTTGTTGTAGTCAATCTTCCAGGGTTCTTCATTTGCTGGATCCTCATAAGGAGAAGTCTCCAAATTGAAATAACCTAGGCAAGGTGAGACACACATTCAGAGAGGTGTTGGGGGGGGGGGGGAAACACACTGGAACCAGTTTCTCCTTTTAGAGAGACTTTCATGCACACACAAAACATATCTGGTTGTACCCACAGGACTGGAGTTCATCCAGAAACATACTGCTTTACTCAAGAACCAGGCAGAGCCAGCAAGAGCAAACCATGGCCCCAGACCTATCCGAGATACTGGTGTGTTACTAAGCAGCTTTGACATAGGAGTCATTCATTGGCTTCTCTGCGTCCAGGATTAGATCTAGTTTTCATTTGTTCCTTTTCAGTCTCAGCATTCATGAGGATATGTGCACTGTCTCTTTACAATGATAGCAGGGCAGGGGAAAATTTTAGGCAGAAGCTTTTGACAGTAAAGCAGTGACACAGCAGCTTTCAGGATAACATTGTTTTTCTCATTTTAATTAATCCCTTGCTCACTGCTGGACAAAAGCAACTTTCTGTTTCTTTAGGTTGCAGCGTAACCTCCCTTCTCACCCCTCCACTCTCTCTGACCCTCTGTAGTTCTCTTGGTTAGCCTGAGGGTCCAGCCCCAGAATTGTTTCGTGAACATAAACTCACCACCTCATGTCATAAGTTTTAAACCAAATATGAAATCTGTGTCCAAACTTTGTTTATTATATTAATTTCTTAAACATTTATTGTAAAGCACCAGTGACTCCTCTTCCCCAGGAGGTGGGAGCCCGTGTGATGTGATTCTCCAGCAACCACCTCCAGGATTGGAGAGTGAGCTGTGGCAGAATTCTCCACTGAACCCCTCTCCTGCCCTTGTTGGGGTGTGTATTCATAGTACATAGGTTTGTGGAATTACTAGATAACGTATAAACAATGATTCCATCTCACCGTGTGTGAAGCTGGAGTGAACAGTCCAGTAGATGCGCAGGCAGTGCTTCTGTCTCCTCATGCGGCGGTGACACTTGCAATGCAGTAAAGGGCTGCTTCTGAGGTCTAGCTTTGCATCCCGGCACCTTGCTCTGGCATCAGGACTCAGCAGGAGGAAACGTGTCTTATCAAGGGAGCAGTTTTCCAGAGCCTGGTAGGTGGCATTGCAGGCAGGGTCCATCAGGCAAATCTTCTCAGCTGCTATGCAGTCCCTTGGCAGAGCAAGGAGGCCTCCTGTTCAAGTAGGAAAACAATGGTAGGGCTTCATTCATGGAGAGAGCCACACAACAATTGTTTCAGTACCATCACTAAAGACTTTCTGTCCTATCTCAGCAAGAACATCTCTGCAAAGGCAGACGTGGGAAAGTTTATTTGATCTGGGTGAGATGGAATCCTCTACCCTTGGTGTAGGACAGGTGGGGAACAAGAGCTCCCTCCCTTTAGAAATGAGAGGATGGACATCAACAGGAACTCACATTGGTGCAAAGGGATAGCAAGAGATTATATACAAAGCCATTTGCCAGCTTTTTCAAAAAACCCTCCTATGGGTGGCTTGCAATCTTCCAAACCTGATCAGGATCAGGGCTGTTCCGTACTTACATGGGACAGGAGATCCCCAAGGAAAACTCAGGTGCTGCAGGGAGTAGTGTGAGGAGTTCTCCTCTCTGAGTCAGCAGTGAGCCCAGTGCCCCAGCATGGTGCTTAGGGTGCTGTGCTTCTGGGAGTGGCGTGTAAGGGGGCTCATCCCCTCTGAGTCTGTGCTGTCCCTACTGACACAGCCTGGAACTAGGTATTAAGACCTGCATTTAAAAAGCCATTTGCAGTACAGAACAACAACTATATTGAACCTACGACACTTATGAACAATGCTACATATTCTTATGGTAATAAATGGTACCCTTAATATTAACTAGAGATATATCAGTATATATACATTTTTTGTATAGGACACTTGTAATATATCTGTCTTCCTATAATGGATGTTAATTGAAATTATTGAATTAACAATGTAGGAGTCTTTGAAACTTGGCAACTTTAGGGCTCTTCCACTCAGAGGGGTATTATTTGAAGTCCCTTCCATCTGTTGGTGTTTTTCTTCTGGAGATTTTTGTGCGGGTTGATTAACTGGCATTGTATTTGCCTCCTTCTCAGGGTCACTAGTGGGAATTCATTACACTGTCATTGTCAGTTTCTACTGTAGCTCCTGTGTGTGAATCTAAGTGGGCCATCTCAAGAGGACAATTGTTCCTTGGTTGTTCTTAGGATACAATGGTTGTGGCGGTAGAGTTGTCCTTGTACTTCTACCATGTATAGCCTTGGTGCTGCTCTTTGGATACCTGTCCTGGCCCTCCATCTTATCTTTGTCATTAGGGTGCTGGTTGTACTGTCTCGAGTTCAGGAAGATCTTTGGCACCTCTCATACTATTTGCTGTCACCACTGTTTAATTTGTTCTGTCACCTTTTCCACTGTTGCTGGCTTCAAAAGTTTATTTGCTGTAGGCAGTAGAGTCTGGTTGCATGACATGTGACGCCATGCTGGACTGCTGCCCATGCCTTCTAATTTTTCTAGTCATGCTGCCCATGAGTCGCTATCATTCTGCTGTGCCTTTGTAGTAGTTTCTTGGCAATTGCGACAGCTGATTCTGCTTTGCCATTAGCCTAGCAGTGATGTAGAGAAAATGTGATGTTGTAAGCTCTTTGGTACAGTGACTGTCTCTCACTATATATCTGTGTACCACCAGGCCTAGCAGAATGGGGCTTTGATTTTGGTTGGGATCTCTAGGTATTACCATAATACAAATGACAAATATGTTCAAAATCTGATGCTGCTGAAAACAATGTAAATTCCCAACAGCCAAACTGTGTTCCAATACCTGTAATAACTTCTGGAAGGTGCAAGAAACCCCACAGTAGGCAGATGTGGGGATAATCTGACTCCTATTTCCTAACAGCTAGACATTGGTATAAACTCTGCAGCATGAGATTTTATATTCCTTCTAATTTTTTTTTATATTTTATTAAACTCTGGGTGTTCTTGTTATTCATATCAATGTCCAGTGAAGTGATGTGGGTGACCTTCACTTTTGAGATTCCTCGATTTTTATATATAATTGATACACAAACAATAATTAATCAAATATTAGGTCAAAAGGACAGGTGTTTTATTCTCTCCCTCATTCCACCTCCTGCTATGTGTTTATGAAATTACAGACTGTTGTGATTATGGTGCCACAAATGCAGCATTCAGTCTTCTCCCCCAGATTATGCTGAAGAAAACAATGGTTTGGGAGCAGGAAACCCTTTCTTTAGTAAACACAAACACAGTTGAGAATTATCCAAAGAGGGACAGAAATCCACGAACAACACATGGCAATCAAATGGATTGCATTGTAAGCACCATCAAAAAGTCTTCCCCATTTGTCTTTCATTCAGTGTTGTTGTAGCTGTGTTGGTCCCAGGATATTAGAGAGACAAGGTAGATAATACCTTTTTATAGGACCAACTTCTGTTGGTCAGAGAGACAAGCTTTCAAGTTTACAGAGCTCTCATCAGCAGAAGTTGGTCCAATAAAAGATATTATCTCACCCACCCAGAACACATGCTAGCTATTGGTTTGGCTACCAGCAAAATAGATTGTGTGAGAACATGTGGCACTAGTGGTGATGTTGCAGGTCCCAGTGACTCTTGAAAAGAGGCTGCAGCCACCTCCACCTTCTGTTGTCTCCTCTCAGATCTGCCTCTTCCTCTTGTCTTGGCAGTAGTAGTGGGACTAGGAAGTGTCTCTTTCTCCCAGACCTGGCTCCTCAGGGGCCAGCTTTCAGACCCATGAGGAGTCTTTTTACTTTGAAAAAAGCAACAGAGAATCCTGTGGCACCTTTAAGACTAACAAATGTATGGGAGCATAAGCTTTCGTGGGTGAATGCCCACTTAGTCTATAAGGTGCCACAGGACTCTCTGTTGCTTTTTACAGATCCAGACTAACACGGCTACCCCTCTGATACTTTTTACTTTGAGTAACTCCCATATATTTGTGGTTTATATTTTGGTTCCAGGAACACAACCTTCTGTAAAATTGGTTCTTATGGTAATTATTGGACCCAAGGAAATCCAGTGAGTTTGTCTTGGCTGCAAAGAATGAGCCTGGGCAGCCACTTTGGGGCTGTTTGCAGTTTTGGGGCACCTGCTGCTTTGGGGGAATTTATCAGCTGCTTTGCCTCCAATTGAGTCTTCCCCATGAGCTTTAAATGGTTACAAAACATCATTAAACTGGGGGCAAAACCTAGAACTGCTTAGATCACTGGTTGACCCTCTGCTGTAGAAGAAGACAAAACATGTAGATAGGTGCCTCCGACCAGGAAAGGGCACATTAGCAACATCTGGGTGCTAACTCAAGCACTCCCCACATGCAGGTCAACTCCCAGAGCAAATGCCGATAGCTTGCTGACGCTTTCCTGCCTTAGCACCCCTTTTGGGTGGCCTGTGAAGGAACCTGTGCCTTCTTGAGAGATGCTAGCTACTCCGTGGGCCCTAAGGTAAATAAAAAACCACCAGCCTCCTCAGCTGCCAGAATAAACCCCCTGCTAATGCATAGTTCACTTTCGGTGAAGCAGCCCATGAACAAACTTCAGCTACCATGGCCTCAAATAAATGGGTTGGCTGCAGCGTCCTTATCAGTGCTACACCTTCGCTACAAAAAGGGAATGAATGTCTGGGTTGCTCTGCTATCAATCGGCCACGAAACACCTGCTCAGAGCGCCTGATAATACAGTCCAGCCTTTCTGCTCTTTGGCACCGAAAACTTTGTCCTGGCGATAACTGCAAGTGATCAGCATGGAGCAGCACATCCCGACCGAAACTTCTCACCGTCGCTTCCGCAGACAGATACAGAGCCTGCCCCACTCTCGGGTTTGGGACCGAATTCACTCCTTTGGCCGAAACCACCGCTCGTGTGAACACAGTTACGGCGAGTTACGGTGCTTACATGGACCGGGAACCTTAGAGCAGTTCTGCGCCACGGCGCTGGGACACGTTACCGACACCGGGTTCAAACCAGGATAGTTAACCCGGTCTAAAAACTGTCCCTAGACAAGTCGCGAGCCCCGCGGGAGCGTTTCTGATGCTGGCTTCGGGCAGCGCTGGGACACCCTCGCCCTTTGCTTATCCGTACACAACAAAGCGGCTCAGCTTCCAGACCCGGCAGCCCCACCGCGCGCTCCGCTCCCGCGCAGCCGTCCGCGCTCACCCGCGCTCGCTGCGCCGAGCCCCTGGGCTGCAAAGCAGCGGGGCGGCCAGGGCCCCGAGGAGCCGGGCCAGCACAGCCCGGGGCCGGGGCCGGGCCGGGGCCGGGGGGAGAGTCCCTCCCACACCCCGGGCACCAGGCAGCCAGGAGCCCGCCCGGGGATCCAGTGCCGGGAGTCCCGGAGCCCGGGCGGGGCAGCCTGCCGGGGGGGCGCAGAGGAGCGAGGCGGGGGAGAGGCAAATCGCGGCCGGAGCCGCTCGGCCCCGCCACGCTCCGAGCCCCGCTAGCCGCTAGCGATGCCCGCGGCTCGGCGCTGGCTCCGCGCCGGGGGTCGGTACGTTCTCCGGCCGCCTGTCCCCGCCCCCGCGGAGCCCCAGCCCGGCGAGTCCCCGGCAGTTACCGGCTCGGCAGAGGAGCAGCCCCAGCAGCAGAGGGAGCCCCATGCTGGAGCCGGGCAGGCGCGGACGGTCCCTCCGGGCGCTCACATGCTCCTCTCGGCCGGGGCTCGGCTCCGCTGGGCAGGCGCCTCCCGGCTCTGCGCGGTCCGAGTGCCGAGCGGGGACTGGGCGCCTCCCGCTGCGCTGCGCTCCCCCCGCTGGCTGCCGCCTCCTCCCCCAGCCGCGGCGGGCTCTGCCCCCTCCCCACGGACTGGCCAGCCAGCCAGCCCTCTCCCCAGCCTCCAGCCCGGCCCGGGTGTCTCGCAGGCAGCTGCTGCGGGTGACCTCACGTGTGCAGCCTTGGCTGTGGCGCTGTGTCTGCGCCTGGGATGTTCTACCCGTGTCTGTGTAGCTGCATGTGTCCGATCTGGCCCGCTGGATGGGCGAGGGGGTCTGAGAGAGAAACCCTGCCCTCAGCAAAGTAACGGGCCCCGGAAACGGGCCAAACACCTGTGCCCAGAGCAACTCGGTGTTCTGCCTCTCACTCAGTACCACACTGCCATCAGATTGGTGACAAGGAAGTGCAGGCGGGCAGTGATGGGTCCCACACCCAGAATGGGTCTGCCCTGCTGGAGAGCACCGCTCACCCAAGTGTGATTAAAGAGAGAGTCAAAAGTCACGGGGGTGAAACAGCCTTTTGGGGCCTGGGGGCGGGCGGGTTGAGGGGGGAGTTGTGGGAAGACAAGAACTGGGAATGGGGCTGGTAGTCAAGGTAGTGAAGAGCCCAAGGTACTGCTTGATTCTCACTCTGCTTCCAGCCTATTTGTGGAAATTATTTGTAATAAAGGTAGATTAGGGTCATTTACTAGTCGAGTGCAGCTCTGCGCTCATTTTCTTTCTGACAGGAAATTGCCTGGGTCCAAAGTGCACTAACAGGTAGGAGTGCAACCCATCTGAAAGGAAAGCTGCAGTGACTAGGCACAGCACCTACCGTAGCTATAGATGTGTTTAAGAAATAATATGTTTTTAAAGGATTTGTTTGAAGTTTTTAGACATCCTGATCCGTGTCTCACTGTCCCCCGAACTGTGCATTGATCTGCCATTTCACTGATTCTTCCCAACACAACAGCAGTTTAATTCTGATGGTGCAGAAAAAGCAGACAGATACTTTGACTACACTTCAGAAATTTCTGGTTGCTGACAATGACTGTAGCTAAACAGAACTGAACAGGTTTAACTGCAAATGTAACCAAGGACACACCAAGTTCAGCATTTGTTCCAGAAAACATAAACTGTCAGTAACAAATAATATTGGTTGCACAGGCAGGGCCAGAGAATGTAGCTCCCATTCTGAATGTACAAGGAACTTGTTGTAAAAAAGGACAGTTACCTGTTCCGTAACTGGCGTTCTTCGAGATGTGTTGCTCCTGTCTATTCCACAGTAGGCGAGCACGCACACCTATGTGGAATAGACAGGAGCAATCACTCGAAGAAGAACTGTTGTTTTAGAATAATATAGCTTTCTTATTGATTCAGAACAGTATGTATCATTCTTAAATACGTTTCAAGTCAATGGGTTAGTTAATATGTCCAGCAAATAATTGTTTCCCAACATTTTAAAAACATTAAATACAATAAATGTTAATATCCAACAAAAAGGTAACCTTTAACCCTGCAAGTGGAAGGACCCTCACTGGCTATTTCACATAACATCATCTTTTGTTTTCCTCTGGAACTCTGTTTTGGCTTGTAAGTACTGGGCTTTACTTCTCTGAATATGCTAAGGCAGGAAGCTCAGTTTTCAGAGTTTCTTCTTCTATGTTCTGGGTTTGGTTTCTTATTTAAAAAGGGTTTTTCTTAATGTTTTGTTTAATCTAAAACAAAATTAAAATTGTAATATCTTATCTGGCACCAACTCCGAAAGCTTCTTGCCACTGTTGTACATTCTAACGGCAGCGGCACTGACTTCTCTCCCTGCTCTGCATCAACAGATGGCTAAGGCAGCAACCCTTCAATTTGTAATTTTTATCATATTAAGACATGTACAGTTTTAGGAAGTGGCCTTGTTGCTCCGTCTAGGAGTCATAGAAGAGGCCCATGAGAAATACAGAGCACAATTCTTTTTGTTATAATAATTGGGCCTACAAATTTACCCTAATTGTGAGCTCAACTGCAAAAGTGAATTAAAGTTAATAAAATATCACAGTAACTGATAACAAGAAATGCTGATGGGAAAAGGTGCAAAAGTGAGACAGACTGAATTAGTCCAGACAAAAAGGCCTACTGATGTAACTCAAGGATTGTATTAAGATTATCCCTGGTAAACAAGAAGAGTGGAACTGGAAATTAATAAACTCAAATTGTGTGTGGTGGAAATAGGCTTAATTCATGGACAAGATGTTGGGCTGTTCCATCCATCATTTCCCTTTTTAGGTCCTCAAAAATAGACTTTTTTGGGGAAGGCTGGCCAGGGCCATCCTTAGGATTTAGGGGCCCTACGCAGTATTATTAAACTGGTGCCCCTATGCTCCGCTGAAGGCAGTCCCCAGCTGGTGTCACTGACCCCAGTGTGTCGAGGGGGCACAGCCACCACTCCCGCCCACAGGCCCCAGAAACTCCCCCCATTGCTGACACACACCGGCAGTGGCTTAAGGCAGGCTTCACGCTGTCACATGGGGGCTGCATCTTGCCAGAGCCCAGGGCTCTCTTGTGTTGGGGGACTGGGACTCATGAGAGGCACAGTGTATGTGGGCATGAGAGCCAGTCTGTGTGAGAGAGACATTGTGTGTGTGTGTGTGTGTGTGTTAGGGAAGTGTGAGAGACAGTGAGCGCACTTGCACTTTAAGTGCGGAGACTCAACAAATACATGTGTCACCTCAGATTCAGGGTGGTAATGCTTGCTTCCATTATTTCATTGCTCCAAGCTCAAGACTGGGTCCTGGCTCTTGACTTTCAGGATACATATTTCCATATTGTCATCCACCAAACCCACAAGAAATACCTCAGATTCACGGTTGGTCCAGTCATTGCCAATACAGGCTTCTATCCTTTGGACTCTCTACAACACTGACAGTATTCACTAAGTGCTTGGCAGTAGGACAGATAAGGAAACAGGGACTTCACTTGTACCTGTACCTGGACGACTGGCTGATCAGGGTAAGGCCAGGCTGAGACCAAGAGAGTTCTAGACGGAATCTTCTCCCTGTTCTTTCAGCTAGGGCTCTTGGTGAACTATGAAAAATCATCTCTCACCATCACAAATTACTGAATTCATAGGCACTCAACTCAACTCAAGGTCAGTGCAAACATATCTGCTGGAAGACAGATTCAGGTCCCTTCAGTTGCTCATATACAACATAATGGCAAGACTGTCCAGTATGGTCAGGAAATGCATGGGATTTACTATGTGATGCTGCTTGATAGACTTAGTCTTTGGACATTACAACACGGACTAAGGACAGTGTACTCAGCCAAGCACTACATGGACAAATTGGTCATGGTACCACCCAAAGTCCTACAAGAACTTATCTGGTGGCTAGTACCATTGAATATGGGGAAGGAAGTGTCCTCCTTAACCTCTGCCTCAGCAATGGTGCTTATTATGGACCCATTAGAGACAGTTTGGGGCACCCACTAGCTTCACCTCCAAATGCAAGGAGTGTTGTCTCCATACAATCTGAAGTTGCCACATGGACAACCTAGAGCTGAGGGCCATCGGGTTGGCCTGTATAGCATTCCTACCTCTTCTATGGAACTCTGTATTGCAGATCCTGATGGAAAATACATTGACGAGGCACTGTATCAACAAACAAGGAGGTGCTTGCTTGTCCCACTGTGCCTGGAAACCACTGAGTCTGGGAATAGTGTCCCCAACATGGAGTGACTCCATTGTCCCTGTATTTTTCAGGGGTCAATAATAACCTTACTGATTTCTTGAGCAGAAATGTAGCAACCAACCATGAGTGGTCACTGCAGAAATCCATCCTAGACCTGATATTCTGGTGATTTCACCACCGCAGAGAATACTAAAATCTTCTGCTCGGTGTGTGGGGTGCAGGGAATCTCACTGGATGTTTTTCTCCTTCAATTGTCTCAAGGTCTCCTCTGTGCCTTCCCATCAATCCCTCTCATCCCCAAGATATATCCAAGAGCAGATGGGACAAGGGAGGCTACTGTTCTCATGATAGCCCGATACTGGTCAAAGCAGTTTTAACTGTCAGACCTACTCCAGCTGTGCAGCCAACCTCCCATTTGCCTTCCCTCTTGCCTGGATACGGTGTCTCAGATTCAAGTACTGCATTGGGACCCACAGTCACTGCACGTGATGGGTTGGATGCTGGCTGAATGAACATCACTAAATGGGAGCACTCTAGACAAGTGCAAGAAATTCTTATGCAGAGCAGGAAAGCTTCCACTCGGAGGATCTGCTCCGTGAAATGGAAGAGGTTTGCCATATGGGTGATCCAAACCAATGTAAATCCAGTTGAAGCCCAGATCCCAAAGATCCTGGATTACATGCTGCTTCAGAAACAGGAGGGACTGGCATTTATCTCTCTAAAGGTCCGCAGAGCAGCAATATCAGTGCATCATGTGCCAGCTCAATCACATTCCATTTACTCACACCCTACAGTGTCAAGATTTATCAAGGGCCTTTTTCATGTCTGCCCTCTATCATGCACCTTGTCATGGATCAACAGGACAGTAGCTATGCCCCAGCTTTTAAACAGTCTCTTGGAGGACCCACTTCAGTGTGCCAGACCCCCAAAGGGTCTCAGTCTTCCTTCAGGGTAGGTAATGCAGCCTCTTCGCCTATAAGACTGAGCCTCCAACCTCCAGCACTCCTGCTTCATGCTGTTAGCTCTGCTCAGCGAATCCACTTGAGATAGATTCCTAGTTGGAGACTTGTATGTTCTTCTGGGACTAATGCACCTCAGCAAGTATTTTCAGTGACTCCAGGCAGCGTTTTCAAAACAGAGTAGGATTTATTAGTCAACTGGAACACAGGACTGGAAGTGTTTAGGTTAGCATAGAAAAATTAAGGTTCAAACATACTCCATGTGGCCAAGCCAGCACAATCCACTAGTCACGCTGTAGTGGACTCTATTCAGGCTCTGTCTCTTATCACTACAAAAGGTTTTTTTCTTCTGCTGCTAATAGCTCATCTTAATTAATTAGCCTTTTAGA